TAAAGTCAAGACGGTCTCATTGATCATCGTTTGTAGAACCACAGTCTGTGATCAAAACGAGGCACGAGTGCAGCCTGTCAGACTAAAGTGGGCGGAGACGGGCTAATCTTATGCATGTGTCCAAATGACTGGACCTTTTATGAATCAGTTATAATTCTCAGGGCTTCAGATTCACAAAAGCTTTCTTAAGAAAAAACTTGTGAAGGATTTTAAGACAAACACTGAGAAGTTGATAAGAATGTTCTTACGTTCTTATTCTCGAAAAAACTTAAGAAGTTCTCAAATATTCTCTTAAGATAATCTAAATTATTTTCTCAGTATTTTCTTAAGAAAATGTTTTGTTTTCTAATGTTGGCTCCGTTGCATTTTACCCCGTACCATAAATGGCGCGAGATGCATTTTGAATTTGTATTATTAACTGTTATTTCCGTTATTTAGTTTAGTCCACTCAGAGGAGGAAAAACATCAAACCAAGCGTTTAAACAATTTTATCAAACAAGATCTGGAGGTTTTGGAGGAAGAAACAGCCAACATTTTCCTTATTTGAAAATATGATAGTTGTGGGTGACGGACGAGGATGAGGAGCAGCAGAGGCAGCGTCTGTGATAAATTTAGATGCTCACCTCGCCAACTTTTACAGCCTGAGACAGTGTGAGTCTGTCGTAAGGTTAAGAAAATATTTAAGTAATATTTAATAATATTTTCAAGAATAACACTTGTTCTAGAAAATAGTTAAGAAAGAAAATAAAAGAAATCTTAAGAAGTTATTTGAAGAATAACAAATTCTCGTAACTTTTTCTTAAGATTCAAGTTAAGAAAAAACACATTTAAGAAGATTTTCTTTCTTAAGACACTTTTGTGAATCCGGCCCCAGATTTTTTGGAAATGAAAACACCCTGGACAGGTCACCAGTCCATCAAACAGCATATTATACCCTTAATATTATTGTAGTTCTTGTTCTGTCCTCCTTATTTTTGGAATATCAAAAAAGTACTTTACCGAGACACCACTGTAACGTATCATATCAAAACCTGAATTGTGTGTATCGCTGCACCCCCACACAACACATAAGCCTGCACACACACATACACACACACTCTATTGAGATGAACTGCTTTTACAGAGATGTTTCATTAGTTCGGTTCAGTGTGTTTATGTTTGCTAATTCATGTTTTCATATTTTTTTTCCTTTAATAAAAAACTTTCCATCATGAAACTGACTCAATTCCAGATAAAGGCCCATATTATTACAGTCCAGGTAATGTCACTGTTACCGACCTCAGCTGGCATGTGGTTGCCTGTTGTGGCTCCTTCCTCCACCACACTGTCTCTCTCTCTCTCTCGCTCTCTCTCTCTCTCTCTCCCTCTCTCTCTCTCTCTCTCTCTCTCTCTCTCTCCCGCTCCTCTCCAGCGGTTTCCCCTGGTCTTCTCCGGCTTGCGGTGATGTGTGTGCGTGTCAATGCTAACTGTAGTTTGGTCTCAGGCTTCGTCCCTCAGCCGGCTGTACCTAACGCTAACTCACTCCACCTGTAGACGACTTCCTCTCAGCTCACACTCCCCCAGCCTCTCACAGAGTGACGGTGTCTGTGATTGGTGTTTGCTGTGTGTGTGTGTGTCAGTTTTTAGAGGGGTCTTTTCAGCCACACTAAGGCCTTCTTATGAGGACCATAATACACTGAAACGACAATAAACTAAGATAATACAGTGAATATCATAATTTTAGTGGAGAAAATTCTCACATGTGTGGGTTTCTTTGGTCTCTTGTTCAGCCATATGCTGTTTTTTTTTCTCATAACACTCTGTATGAGTTTAGGGTAAGTGGTAGGGGCGAGGGGTGATTGGTGGGATTGGGCCTAATTTATTTTACATCCTTTGGCTAATGACAGGCTTGTTGTCCATTGGACAGTGTTGACAACTTCCTACTTTAGAGAGACTAAACGTGGCTGTAAATGCAACAATAAATGTGTCCTGGCATTGAGAAGCTGAATTTCTTTAGGAACACAAATTTCTTTTGGAATTTTTGTTCTAATATTTTTCAGGTTAAGCTGCAAAACGTAAGATTTTTTTATTAAAATCTAAAATACTGCGAGTCGCCCTGTAGAGCCTGAAATAATCATTTTGAAGTCAGAGGCGTCTGGATGGGTTTTTTTCACACCACACCATATGTCTACATATTAACGTCACACACAGACTCAAAAAGAAGGTCCGGCTCGATGTTTAGACCTCAAACGATCTCAAAATCAACATTATATTGATGAACATATGACAATGTAGCACGTCATGCGCTACCCCGGGCACGAGGAGGACGCTGGAGGCAGGAGAGACGTTTGCAGCAAACTTTAATTCGCTCCAAACTCACACGAAATAAACACAACTAGACCTTTTCAGTCCTTTTCAAAGTAAGCTTTTCAGCTCTGTCTTCAGTTCTTTTGTTGTTGCTGCTGCTCGTCCCCCTCGCTCTGTTCCCTCTCTGCTCTTTTTAAAAGGCGTATCAGCTGGCTCTCATTAAGGGCAGCATGAGCACCCGGGCCGAAAGGGAACGAGAGCTCGCCGCTCCGCCTCCTCGTCACCATCCCCAGCTCGCAGCTCAGCCGTGAGGTGTAGTGAAGCAGCCTCGCTGTGGAACAGGGGGCGGGGCCCGGGCGGCAGAGCTCAGGACTCACTCCTCGCCCAGCACTGTTGTCCTCCTCCTCTCGCCATCACTCGCGTCCCTCGGCGGAGCTCGGGCTTTGCGCTCCGTCCCCCACCCACTCGTGGCTCTGTCCCCGCCGTCCTCGCCAGGGTTCGTCGCCGCTTGATGTTCGGGCCCCGCCTTCCGGCAGGCTCTCACAGCCACCATCAGGGCCCGGGGGGCGGGCGCACGCCACAGACAACAGTAGTAGATAATTCACTCACATCCTCAGAGATGCATCCTTCACTAAGTTTGGACTGAGTTCTCTTTGAATTCTCTTTCTATCAGCAGATTCATCCGCTTGGGGGAAAAAGGCCTGAAGCACAACCCACGTTACAAAATGTTCTTCCACCCGTTCCACACGTTTCAGTTACACATTTCCACCAGAGAGGTCTCCAAATCCCCAAAACGTAAATAGGGCAGCTTTACTTAAGAAAAATCCCTGCAAAGGTTTAGTTATTTATCTTCAGCACTCTTCGCCATGCTCATCAGATCGACGTTCTTGATGTAAAGAGCAAGTTTTGAATAATAATTCGACTTCTCTGAAACTTTTTAGACCCAGAGGTGGTTTAGACACTGTTACATCACAATAAGGGGATAAAATGGCCTTTGGCTTCATTCCCAGTAGCAGCACTGTCACTAATACTGTCTAATACTGTCCCTAATTTTTAGTGTGATAATGTTCTCCTCTAAATAAACCTGATTAGTGCTAATATGGTAACTTATTGCAAACTGACAAGGGAAACATGAGCATTTAGATTAAAAACACTGATGCTCTTTCAGTCCTCAAACTTTTGACTGATAGTGTATATGAAAAGGTGTGAGTGCGGTGTTGAGGTAGCTGTGTTTGGTTGCCGTGTGTGTTCCTTCAGCGCTGTGTCTGTGGTTCAGATAAGCTGACGTCAGTGATTCTTACACACAGACTCATAAACTGGTTTACACACACATTCTGCTGCTGCTGCTGCTGAGGGAGATAGAGAGGCAGCGAGTCACGTTAGGGGGCTTCGCTTAACAAGAGCTTAGCAGCTACAACCCCCATAATCTGTTCTTCCACCCCTCCCAGACTGTTTTCTCACGCTCTCCCACTGCTCTCTCTCTCGCTCTCTCTCTCTCTCTCTCGCACGCTCTCCCTCACAGGATCACAGCGAATCAGCGACAGTGAATTCTCTGACTATGACTGTGAAGACGGCATTGGCGTCATATCAGGTACAGCCAGAACCATCGACAGCTTTGCACTTTTCACCCGGTTTGATTCAGTTCAGCGCGGTTGGGATGAGCGATGTACGGCTTGTACTTCTGATTTTGTCAACTGGTTCTTTTCATTTTTGTCTTTTAATGTTTTTTATTAAATGTCCACACAGACAGTATAGAAAGGATAAGATAAGAAAAAATACACATTTTCTGTTGTCAGCACTGAACAGCCTTTACAGAGATTCAGTTTCATCAGAAAAAAAGAAAAATCCATTAAAAATCTGTCACTATAAACTTCCTAATGCACGCTTCTTATATACATTTTAAAATGATTCTAATTCCCTCTAGAATTGTTCACAGTGACTCTCATATGAGACTGTTTGAGTCATAAGCCAGTCTGTTGTAATCAAAACTACAGGTCAACACAAAAACTACAGTTCAATATATATATATATATATATATATATATATATATATATATATATATATATATATATATATATATATATACACAAGATGGTAACTTTACAGGACAACGAAAAAAAGACACTTTACTTTTAATGTAAGTCAATGGCACCAGACTTTTTTCAAACTATTTGGGGAACATTAACATTATATAATATCATATAACACTATATAACAACATTAAAATAAATGTTACAAATAGTATCATTTTAAAAAACAAGTGAATATATATATATATATATATAGGAGGACCGGTGTCCAGTGTCCAGCGCAGTTTGGTAGTTTCCCTGCTCAAACACTCCCACTCAACCTGGCAGTTAACAGATGAGTGTAATTGGATGTGTTTGAGCAGGTAAATCACCAAACTGTGCTGGACACTGCAGGACTGGAGATGTGCACCCCTGCTCTCTATGATAGGACCGTATATATTTATACTGCATATGTACACTATGTGTATTATAAATATGTACATTTTTTGCTGTCCAAATTAAAACATGTATCTTTAAAATACAATTTTTATGGGATGAGATTTTAATGTAAATTAAGGCAAAGAGGTTATATTGAAACATTTCTATTGGTCCATTCACAAAATGTAAAGGACAGCTGCCCAAGTTCAAATGATGTGGAAAAAATAAACATAAAAATAAACACAAAAATGGAGATACATGTTTTTTTTGGACCGCAGCAATATGCACATTTTTAAGGGTGTTGGAATTCTCTCTTTAGCTGCTATTGCATGGTATTCTTTTGTTTGCACTCATACTGCAAATCAAATCAAATCAAATCAGATTTATTGTCACATCACAAGAGTACAGGGACACAGGTGAGTGAAAAACTTGAGTGCGAGTTCCACAAATTATGCAGAGAACAGTATTTACACATAGATAAACAAAACTATAGATAGGATAGAAGAATAGATAAAACCAATTTAACTAAAATATCTGTACATACATTCTGTTTGTATATTCTCTTAATTGATATATATTTTTCTATTTTTCTTCTTTTTTGTGCTTTCTTTTATTCAGTACTCAGTATTTCTATAATGTTTGTATAGTAACTTGCAGTAAAGAGTCAGAATTTCATTGTACAGCACAACTGTCTGTGCATATATCAATAGACCCTTGCATCTTGAATAATTGATATTTTGATGGGCTGCGTGAGTTTGAGTCTTGCTGTTAAACGTTGATGAATTGCTGACTAATCACGGCCCTAAGCGTTTGACAGAACGTGCATCTGTAGTTACTACAGCAAAACAACTAAAACGGCTCTTATATTAATATGACAGACAGTATCTGACTCTGTATCTGAGCAGGACCGTCCAGTCCACAGCGATCTTTCAGCCTCTCTTCCTCCTCTGAACTGATCTTTGCCGCTTTGGCGAGTACAGGCTGTGCGAGTTTGGGAGTGTGTTCACACTTCCTGCCCAGCAGAGCGTCAGAGGCACAAATCAAATTAAAGGATATTGCCAGAGAGAAGATTACTGTGAGCTCGTCCCCTCAGAGGGACTTCACTCCGTCTGAACTCGGCTCTACACCGCTGCCTTTTCTCCGCCACTTCACAGTAATTAACCTTTAGACGTCTGACGTTATTACAGTCCTTCTGCTCGAACGCTGGAATGTAATTATGCAATTAACTACACAGTTACATCGCTGTCTGAGGAGATTGGGTTGTGCAGACAACTCATGTTTACGTTACTCTTAGAAGTCTAGAGTTACGACTGTCAGTGTACTACACTATTAAATGTAAAGACATAATAAAATACATGACGTCATAATATAGTATTATTATATTTACATTGCATTTCTGTTCTGAATGGACTCTTCTGACTTCTTTCAGTTTGCAACCATGACCATTAAAAATCCACAGTCTGTCATAGTTTTTATATACATTTTAAAATGAGTTCCCTCTAGAATTATTTGCATTGAATCTCATATGAGATAGTTTCAGTCATAAGTCTAAGCCAGTCTGTAAATCTAAACATATATATATATATATATATATATGTAGCACCTTGTATTTCTGCTTTTGTTGTTTTTCAGTTTTTTTACATATTTTGAAAATGCCTGTTGCTCTTTACGTTGTGTGTAAATTTCAAAATAAATGGACCAAAAGAAATAACCCAGAATTAATTGGAAAAATTCTGGTTCCATTGACTTACATTAAAAGTAAAGTATGTTTTTTCCTTCTCCTGTAAAGTTACCATTTCGGAAATACAAGGTTTTGTTCCGACAACAGCGATATATATCTATAGATTATATATATATATAGATTATATAACATTGATTTAAAGCTTAAAATTGATTGTTATTGTTTTATGGTTTTAGTTCAGCTCTGCATTGTAACTTGGAGGTAGATGATTGTGAGGCTGTTCTCTGTCCCTTCTTCTCTAAAACGTGTTCAGAATCTCCAGCTGAAGTCAAAAATATATAAACCAAACAAACAAATGAAAACACAAAAAATAATCACATTCTGATCTGCAATCAGGAGATGTTTGGATTTTGGAACCAATGACCATCAACAAACTAACGAGACCCAGTTAAGCCATCATGGAAAGATCAATTAGATCCTCAACCAGCAACAGATTTCATTTAAACATGCAGAAAAAGTACAGTTTATTCTGTTTAATATTCAATGATGAAAGAATGGGCTCTTCTGACTTCTTTAAGTTTGTGTCGATGTCAAAAAAGGCAAAATATGGCAAGAATTTGAAGGATTTTATGTTCTTTCTGCAAAACAAGACAGCGCAAGTTTTCAACAGATTTAAATCATAATAAAATATCTGTTCTTCTACTTAGAAACACAAATATGGGTGGATTGGAAGTTTTGAGCTTTCTTTGCTTAGGTTATTACTGGCAGGGACTTGTTTACAACACTCATGAACTGTGAACCGACAGCACTGTGAAAAGTTTTAGGCACTTAAGTCGACTGTTTAATACTGTGTAGCTCAGCTGTGAGTGTGTTTTTCCCAGTATAAACACTATAACATTAAAATAAATACACATAGATATAAATACTGTAAATCATAACAACGATGATAGCTAATTGTAAGCTAGTTAGAAGAATGCAGGACGGATTGATTAAGTAAATAAGAATTGGATGAAAACTATGATTAGTACCAGGCCTTCTTATAAAGAGCTTTGGAAATAGTTAAGGACCAACATACAGTATCATCGCTGTCGGAATAAAACCTTGAAAACACCAGCTGTCCTTTACATTGTGTCAGTATTTTATGATAAATGGACCAATAGGATTGTTATGTTTACTTATATTGAACGTTAAGAATGTCTTTTTCTTTTCCTGGAAATTTAAAGGCTTTAAGGTTTAGTAGATTTTTTTAAGGACTGAGATTTCGTGTCCGAGTTTTATAAAATCAGTACTCACTGTGTTTTGTATTTATTCTAATATCAGTGTTTCTATTATCAAATAAATAGCATTTTTAAGTGTAAATGATGATGAATCCAACACTGATGCAAAGAAAGCTCAAAATCCAGCACTGCAGTAACACTGACGTGGTGGTGGTGTGTTAGTGTGTGTTGCGCTGGTATGAGTGGATCAGACACAGCAGAGCTGCTGGAGTTTTTAAACACTGTGTCCACTCACTGTCCACTCTATTAGACACTCCTACCTTGTCAGTCCTCCTTGTAGATGTAAAGTCAGAGACGATAGCTCATCTGCTGCTGCACAGTTTGTGTTGGTCATCCTCTAGTCCTTCATCAGTGGTCACAGGACGCTGCCCACAGGACGCTGTTGGCTGGATATTTTTGGTTGGTGGACTATTCTCAGTCCAGCAGTGACACTGAGGTGTTTAAAAACTCCAGCAGCACTGCTGTGTCTGATCCACTCAGACCAGCGCAACACACACTAACACACCACCACCACATCTGTGTTACTGCAGTGCTGAGAATGATCCACCACCCAAATAGTACCTGCTCTGTGAGGGTCCATGGGGGTCCTGACCACTGAAGAACAGGGTAAAAGGGGGCTAACAAAGTATCAGAGAAACAGATGGACTACAGTCTGTAACTGTAGAACTACAAAGTGCACCTATATAGTAAGTGGAGCTGATAAAATGGACAATGAGTGTAGAAACAAGGAGGTGGTCATAATGTTATGCCTGATCGGTGTGTGTGTCTATGTATATATATATATATATATATATATATATATACACACACCTTTATACATATACATATATTGAATGCATGTATAAAGATTCATTCCTTTCTTAAGCCCACCACACAGCCATCTCAGAGACTCCTTTTAAAACTGCTGTGTGTGTGTGTGTGTGTGTGTGTGTGTGTGTGCATGTGTCCTCAGATTACCGGCACAACGGCAGGGACTTCCAGAGCTCTACTCTATCTGTTCCTGAGCAGGTCATGTCGTCCAATCACCGCTCCCGATCGGACATGATCCGCTCTCGCTCTCGCTCGCCCAGCGTCCCTCCCCCACAGAGGTACCGTCAGCGCACATGCACAACATGGGCTGGAGGCGTCTTCTGTTCACAGTTACTTTGAGAGCAAATAAACAAACAAACAAATATAAACACTCTGAGTATAACTGGACCGTGTCTCGTTGTTCATTGTTTTGGATCTGGATATGAAGAGACACAATAACACTGAGGTGAAAGTGCAGAATATCAGCTATTAATCAAATCTATTTCCAGATGTCTGTGATGAACTAAGTAGGAATTACAGCCTTTTATCAATAACTAAATAAATTAAATAAATTAAAAAAAGGGCCCCCATCACAGAAAACTATGTTTTTCTTGATGTTTGAACATTAAAGAGGTAAATGTAACATGCAAGCATTGTTAGAGGTTCAAAACATACCATTCACCTCCCAGTCCATGTATGTAGACTGTCATTTGAATCCACTCTGTCTGTGATGTCAAGAAAGCAAATATATTTACATACATACAGCAGTTTAGCTCCGCCCACTCACACTGAGGTTATAAAAGGAATGTTTCAGCCCAGACTCCCCTTTGAATGAGGCACAGCCTCATATATATGTATTTATCTGTTGTCAGAACAAAACCTTGTATCTCCAAAATGGTAACTTTACAGGAGAAGGAAAAAACCTACTTTACTTTTAATGTAAGTCAATGGAACCAGAATTTTTTCCAAGTCATTTTGGGACGTTTCTTTTGGTCCATTCATCATGAGCGACAGGTATTTTCAAATTATATCAAAAACTGAAAAATGACAAAAATGGGGATACTAAGTTTACTTCCGACAACAGCGCTACATACATACATACATATATATATATGTATATATATATATATATATAATTTTCTGCCTGTATGTGAATGATGATAGGTGTCGTTCAGTTACAGGTGACTAATTTTTTGTCCAGTGAGCTGAGAAAAGGAAAGAAAGAAAGTAAGAAAAGAAGTTTTCTACAGTCTCCAGAATTCTGCTGTCATTCTAATAGACTTTTTATCAACCTGCGATCACTCGTTCGTGTCACTAGTGGTAAATGCCACATCTAGAATTAACTGTAGACCTTTATTTAGCTCTTTGTTCATAATAAAGAACCTTCAGGGCCATCTGTTCAATTACTTTTGGTCCTCTAGTATGAAACTACTGTATAAAGGGCTGTAATTTCTGCACGGTTTAGCTTATGTGGATCTGAGTTCTCTCAAATTAAAGGTAGAACAACACAAACTGTCACTGTCCAGAAAAAAAAATGATATACAATACAATATAAGGTTTTACAGCTTAAGTCTTTTTCTTATATCTGGTTCTTTCTCTTGCAGTCGAAGTTTAGACCACGGCGTGCGAGGAGCACCATCTCAGTACAGCCCCCGCCATCGACTCTCGGAAGACAGATACTCTCCCGATAGGTACGGGTTCACTCCGGCTGCCGTCCAACTCAATTTACAGCTCCTTTTTTTTTCTTTTAAGATCCACAGGATGGCCCATCGTTTTCTTTGGTGCCATTTCCTTTCAATGCTGATTTCAGACATCAGACGGAATGGAAGTCAATTGAATTTGATCAGGGTTCTTGATTTCTGAGGGAGTCTGAGTGCAGAAGGAAGTTGTAGAACGTCAAATAGAGTCAAACACACTCGAGATGCTGGCAACTCCCTGAGGCGATTAGGTGGGCAAAGCAGGGGTGAAGGGATCACCGTGCAGCGTAGGTTCATTTACCCTCAGACGTCTGGAGTTACTGCTGTTATTTTGCCATGCTATTAAATGTAATTACATAGTTAATTACATAGTTACTCTCGGAATTTAATTTACACTTGATCAAAGCTGCGCCTCTAAAAATGTTGGTTCTTCAAGGGTTCTTTAGTAAAGAAAATGGCTCTATATAGAACCATGAGCACTCACAGAACCCTTTGCCTGATAAAAGGGTTCTTTGCGTCATTAAATGGTTCTTCAGATTGATGGAGAATATACTGTAGATGGTTCTATATAGCACCCAACAGGGTTCTTCTATTGTTACAAGCTTGACACCATAATAATAGAAAAAGCAATTTGGGTGCTATATAGAACCATTTTCAAAAAGGTTCTATATAGAACCTTATACAGCACTTTCCACAAAAGTTTGTTTCACCATGCAAAGAACCCTTTAATCATGGAAATGGTTCTTTGAGTGTTCAGTTCTTCAAGGGTTCTTTAATAAAGAAAATGGCTCTATATAGAACCATGAACACTCAAAGAACCATTTGCATGATCGCAAGGGTTCTTTGCGTCATTAAATGGTTTTCAGATCAATGGAGAATGTACTGTAGATGGTTCTATATAGCACCTTTTTGAAAAGCGATCTAAATAGCACCCAAAAGGTTATAAGCTTTACACCACAACATTAGAAGAACGCTTTTGGGTGCTATATAGAACCATTTTCGAAAAGGTTCTATATAGAATCATATACAGCACTTTCCACATCAATATGAAGAACCATGCAAAGAACGCTTTAATCGTGTAAATGTTTCTTTGAGTGTTCAGTTCTTCAAGGGTTTTTTAGTAAAGAAAATGGCTCAATGTAGAACCATGAACACTCAAAGAACCCTTTAAAAGGGTTAAAAAGGGTTCTTTGCATCATTAAATGGTTCTTCAAATTGATGTAGAAAGTGCTGAAAGTTCTGCTATTGTTGCGTAGTCAAGCTTGTAACAATAGAGGAACCCGTTTTGGTGCTATATGGAACTCTTTTCAAAAAGGTTCTATATAGAACCATATACAGCACACTCTCCATCAATCTGAGGAACCATTTCATGATTCAATGAACCCTTTAATCATGCAAAGGGTTCTGTGAGTGTTCATGGTTTTATATAGAACCACTTTCTTTACTAAAGAACCCTTGAAGAACCACCTTTTTGTGTATAAATAGGCAAGTTTGTCCAAAAATATAACAAAACTGATTGTATCATTGTAAAAAATGAAACTTTTTCTTTTAGCAAAATAAAATGGTAAAAAGGACAATAACTTTTTATTAAACACACACAAATGTGGTCTGAATTGAACGTTTAGAATCTGCACTCTCCTCACAATTTGTCCACCAGCGATAACTGTGACTTCTTAGAGGTGATTCAAACGTCCGCTGGATGAGTAGCTACAGTAGCAACGCTGTTCAAAGTGGCCTGTCTTGATGTGACCTTAGAGAGTTGCCAGGGTTTTGAGGTACTAGGCTCAGGAGATGCAGGCGTAGGAGTTGTTTGCACTCTTTCCATCCTATTCGCCTCTCTTCCCGTCCCGCTACCCTCATATAACCCCCCTCTGTGTCTCTGGCTCTTTCTCTCCCGCTCTGTTCGGTAGCTCTGTTCATCCATGCCTCTGTCTCTCTGTTCCCCTGTGGGCCACAGCCACTATCTCACCCTACCTCCTCGAACCAGACACAGACAGCCAGTCATCGACCCATCTTTCCAGGAGCCCAGGTATTCTACCTGAGAGTGGCATTCAGCATGATTGACAGCTTCTCTCCACCCACAACAACCCACCCACCTTTCACTTCTCACCCTTCACACTGTCCCGCCTGCTTTTAGATGACCGACAGCTCACCTGAAGCGCTTGTTGATGCACTGACATGTGAGATTCGCAGTGTCCCACAGAGGGACGTACACTGCCCACTAACAGTTTGGGGACAGCTAGCTTTTCAAATGTTATTCAACCCCTTAAAATGGCCAGGAGTCACTGGCCAGACCAGGCTCACGTCTATAACTGAAGAATAACTTGCATTGCCTTTAGTGTAATTAATGAATAATAAGCCTTAGGGTGTAATAAGCCTGGGAATTTAAGGGGTGTATTTTGTAAACAGAAGGCTTATCATTGAGTTATTAATCCTAAAACTGATTATTCACCCATTAAACTAATTATTACCTTATTATTACTTTAAACTGAAGGCTTATCAATCAGTTATTAATCCTAAAACTGATTATTGACCCCTTAAACTTATTGTTATCTTATTATTACCAAAAAGTGCAGGCTTATCATTGAGTTATTAATCCTAAGACTGATTATTCACTAATTAAACTAATTATTACCTTATTATTACTTTAAATTGAAGGCTTATCAATCAATTATTAATCCTAAGACTGATTATTCACCCCTTAAACTTATTATTACCTTATAATTACTTTAAATTAAAGACTTATCAATCAGTTATTAATCCTAAAACTGATTATTCACCCCTTAAACTTATTATTACCTTATTATTACTTTAAACTGAAAGCTTATCAATCAGTTATTAATCCTAAGACTGATTATTGACCCTTAAAACTTATAATTCCTTATTATTACCAAAAATTACAGGCTTATTATTTAGTTATTAATCCTAAGACTGATTATTCACCCCTTAAACTTATTATTGCCCCTTCAGCTGCAGGCTTATTATTCACTTATTAATGCAGGGACACATTATTCACCAACTATTATAAATTTGACAGTAACTACTACAAAACTAATGTTTAAGTTCTGTAGTTGTGAGCCAATTCACTCAGACTGGGTGAGGGAAGATCTAACTTTAGAGCTGAATCTGATTAGGTCAGATGGCTGCCATTGCTTCCAATCAGATTCCAGACTGAAGATTGTCAAAGAGAATGGATCTGAGAATGAATCTGGCAAAATCCATTCAGCTGATTTAATGAAAGAGATACAGCATCTTTGGTTTCGGTTACTCATTTTCAAACGAAACAAGAAATCCTGCTGTGTTTTTTGTACTTTCCCTTTGTTGCTGTAAATTGCTAAAACAAAACAGACCAAACAGAAGAAGAAAAGCCGAGTAGCAGCAGTGGCTGTTTGATCCAGGACTTATCATCAAGCATATCTCCAAAATGGTAACTTTACAGGAGAAGGAAAAACATACTGTACTTTTAATGGAAGTCAATGGAACCAGACTTTTTACAAGTCATTTTGGGCCGTTTATTTTGGTCCATTCATCATGAAATTTACACACAATGTAAAGAACAACAGGCATTTTCAAATTAAGTCAAAAACTGAAAACATTCGGTTTTGTTCCGACCGCAGTGACATACAGCGTGATTCAAAAAGATTCATCTGATTTCAAAATGATTTATTTCACTTGTAAATCATTACAGATCAATGCAGTGAACTGTAAATGGTTCAAATGAGCATAAAGTTTATTATGTAATTGTACAAGGTCTCAGTATGAACCTCCTCCAGCTACAGACATCAACACCATAGTCAAACTCATCCCATACTGGATTGAGCATATCGGGTGTCGCTGCATTCACGGCTCTTTCAGTGCGATTTCGGAGATCATCCAGTGTTGTGGAACCAACGGCGAACGCTCTGAGCTGTTGGAGGTTCACTGCCCATGAAGATCACGTCGTACAGTTATGACGGATTCACTCTTATTGAAGTGGAGAACGCAGAACGCCTCTCAGACTGAAGGGAGCCATCTTCCACTGACAGTCAGAAACTCTATGACCCTCTCTTTCAGTTGGATTGTGATTGGTTCCTCGGCGCCTCACGGTTGTAAAAATATGGCGCTTTGAAATCGGATGAATCTTTTTTTTTGAATCGGATGAATCACCCTGTATTATAAACATTGCTTTGGAAAGGATAGATGTCCCCAAACACATTTGCAGTGTATATTCAAACACTTTATGCACCCATATGCTGAGAGTAAAAGCGCAGTGTAGAGGGCGCCTGCGGTGTCTGCCTCTGCCTGCTTGTGTTTGCTAGCTACATACACAACATACTCTTAGGTCTACAGTATGAGTGTGTCTGACTCAGTATGCAGGACAAAACGGTGACTTTTTGCACAAGACAACATTTTAATAACTGCAGACAGTCTTTGCCAGTGCTTGGCAGGCAGTGGCGTTAGGGTTTTGGCTCTGGAGATACGCTATAGGGGACTTTCAGAATAATGTGGCAGCCAGACTGTTCTCTTTCCGCGTCTCTGAGTTTGGAGGAAGCTGACGTGATCTTCTGCCGTGTGTTTTGTGACTCCTGCAGTGGCAACCTCATGTACCCTATCTACCGGGAGGACGCACTCAAGCTGCTGCGCTCGGCTAGGATGGCCAGAACCTATTCAGATGGGGCGTACGGTAGTCTGGACAGGTAGCTGACCGCTGTGGTGCTGTATTAGTGCTGTGGGTAGTTTTCGCTATTAGAGTAGTTCGTGGTACTTTGCAGATTTGGTGGAGTTAGAATTGAGCTTTTTAGTACACTCTTAAAAAGGTGGTGCTTCAAGGGTTCTTTAGTAAAGAAAATGGTTCTATGTAGAACCATGAACACTCAAAAACCCTTTGCATGATTAAAGGGTTCTTTGCATGGTGAACCGTTTTTTTAAATTGATGTAGAAAGTGCTGTATATGGTTATATAGAACCTTTTTGAAAATGGTTCTATATAGCACCCAAAAGGGTTCTTCTATTGTT